AACCTATCCATTTTGAAGGAAATCAACCCTGAGTGTTCACTGGAAGGACAGATCCTGAAGCTGAGGCTGCAGTATTTGGCCATCTCATGAGAAGAGAAGATTCTCTGGAAAAGCCCCTGATGTTGGGAAAGTGTGAGGGCAAGAGAAGGGGATGACAGAGGATGAGATGGTTGGACAGTGTCATCGAAGCCACCAACGTGAATTTGGCCCAGCTCCGGGAGGCAGTAGAAGACAGGTTGGCCTGGCGTGCTCTGGTCCATGGGGTCATGAAGAGTCGGGCACGACTAAACGACTAAACAACAACAACTGTGATCATGCCTTTGGCTTGAGCGAATTTGGTGAAAGCTTTCCATTTGTTCTCGTACAGCCGGGAGGTGGACAGTGTTCAGGCTTGGTCTAGGACTGCACGGAACCTGGGGATATCTTCCACGCTGTCAGGGACCGGACATCAGGGTGGACATCTGTGAGAGAAGGGACGGTATCAGAGGTAGGTGTATTATTTCTTCCATTATTTCTGATAGGTGGGGAAACCAGGGTTGGTGCGGCCACCATGGGGCAATGAGAATTGCATTCGTTTGGTATTGAATGATCCTGGTTACGGTCCTGAGGAGAAGCGCTATTGGAGGGAACAGGTAAGTTAGTTCTCTGGACCACAGTATGAGGAAGGCGTCTCTGAGGGATGAGGCGACTATGCCCACCCTGGAGCAATACCGGTTGCATTTGGTATTTCGATGGGACGCAAAGAGATCTATCGTGGGCTGTCCCCATCGGCTGCATAAGTCTAGGAAGACCTTCTGGTCGAGGGCCCATCTGTACATTCTGGTGGGTAGTCGGCTCAAACGGTCTGCCAGGGAACTGTCCTTGGACGCAATATAGATTGCTTGGGGAAAAATGTGGTGGGAGTGGCACCATTCCCAAAAACGTGGTAGGATTTTGCCACTAGGAGCCAATCGTCTATATAGGGAAATATTTTTATCCCCTTGGCACGGAGACAAGCCACAACTGGTGCCATGCATTTTGTGAATGTCCTGGGGGCTGTGGAGAGCCTGAACGGGAGAGCGGTGAATTGGTAGGTAGCGTGATGGAACCGGAACTGGAGGAATTTTTGATGAGACAGGTGAATGGAGATGTGGAAGTAGGCATCCTGTAAATCTATGGTGATGAACCAGTTTCCCTGAGACAAAAGAGGGAGAATGGAATCAAGAGTCAGCACACGGAATTTCTTGTGGGGAATGTATAGGTTGAGGTCTCTGAGGTCCATGATGGGCCTTATGCCACCATCTTTCTTGGAGACTGCAAAGTAGCACGAGAAGAAACCCTCGCTAGAGTCAGAGGATGCTACCCTGGTTATGGCCTCCTTGAATAGGAGTACTGAGATTGCCAAATGCAGAGGCATGAAAAAGGGAGTTGTTTTGATTGAGTTTGGTGGCGGGGTCTCTGCAAATTCGATCAAATAGCTCTTTTCAATGATATTAAGGACCCACTTGTCAGTAGTGATGGTTTGCCATTCTTGGAGGAATGGGAACAGTCTGGTGGTGCATAAAAAATTAGGAGATGCTTACCCCTGTGCTGAGCTTTGTGAAAGGACTGCTTGGGGCTGCGAAATCGTTGCTGTTTGAACAACAGCAA